ACAAGGTTGAAACAATAAGGACCAATGTGGTGGGAACTTTAACACTGGCTGATGTTTGCAAGGAACATGGTTTATATATGATGAATTTTGCAACTGGTTGCATATTTGAGTATGATAAAGAGCACCCTCTAGGATCAAGCATTGGGTTCAAGGAGGAGGACAAGCCAAATTTCATTGGTTCCTTCTATTCAAAGACCAAGGCCATGGTAATATCTTTGAAATTTCCATTTCATCTTATTTATAGCAGTACCATGGTCTAAGTTTATTAGTTAAAATTGAACTCTGACACATCATGCATTTATAAAGAGCTTAATTACAGTTTTCGTCACCTAACTTTCTCAATTTGGTAAAATTCATGTTCCAATTTTTTCTTTTGCGAATTTAATCCCACTATTTTAATTATAAAATCTTAGTTCATGCGTTAACATCTTACACTTAACACAATAGTGAAGGGTTATTTTTTAGTTTGTAGAGAGATATTTTTTGGAAGAAATATATTGTTGTTGTTGTGCAAAGGAGATTTCCATGCATCATCTCATTGATGTGATATTATCCACTCTGAACTTAAATATTCATAAATTTATTTTTGGTTATTATCCAAAATATCTCATACCAATGGAGATTTTATATGTACTTATAAACTCATATTCATCTTCTTATTCTAATAATATGAAACTTTATAGTATTCCAACAAAATATTGACATGAGAGTGCAATAGAGTGGTATGGTAATACTTTTTGTCAAGTATTTGATATTAACAAAAAAAAATAAAATTGTACAATTAAAATAATGGAAATCAAATTCAACAAAAAAAAACAATGACAAGTAAAATTTGCAAAATTGAAAAAGTAAGAGGGATAAAAAACACAATTAATTCTTAATATTTTCCTGCAATAATCACATTTAAGGATATGGAAAAATGCATGCAGGTGGAGGACCTTCTAAGGAATTATGAGAATGTGTGCACATTGAGAGTTAGAATGCCAATATCATCAGATCTTAGCAATCCAAGAAACTTCATCACAAAGATCTCCCGTTACAACAAGGTGGTAAACATACCTAATAGCATGACAGTGCTAGATGAGCTCTTACCCATATCCATTGAAATGGCTAAAAGAAACTTAAGAGGGATATGGAACTTCACCAACCCTGGTGTCATTAGCCACAATCAGATATTAGAATTGTATAGAGAATACATAGACCCCAAATTTAAATGGGAGAATTTTGATTTGGAAGAACAAGCAAAGGTAATAGTTGCTCCCAGGAGTAACAATGAAATGGATGCTTCCAAACTCAAAAATGAGTTCCCAGATTTGTTGTCCATCAAAGATTCCATTATCAAGTTTGTCTTTGAGCCTAACAAGAAAACTTGAATGTGTTGCAATTTTTGCACTTATCATATACCTTTGTATCTAAATTTTCATGTGGAAGACTGATTGTAAGAATCCAAACGTAGGTTTGTGTTCATGTTCATTTTGTAATTTATATAGTCACCATAATCATACTCTTTTGTATCCAATGTTTTGTAGTTTTCAAGTTTGTATGTTAAAAAAAGATTTAATTACTCATTTGATTCTTGTAATTTATCTGTTCGAACTTTATTACGTTGGTCCTATACATAAAATTTTTAAGTTTTAGTTCAAATTCAGTGCATCTTGATCCTCAATGTCAGTTGTCCTCTAACTCTATTAACTTTGGTTACTAAAAGTGTCAAAAAAAAAAAATAAGAACATTTTTAATCAGGGAAATAATTTATTTACAATTTTACGCAGCTATTTTTTTTTTTTATGGTCTTAACTTTACAATACCATGTACAGATGTCAATGTCATGGACTGAAACGCATTAAACTTCTATGCTAGTTATGTTACTAAAGTTCAATTTTTATGTAATAGGGTCAAAATAGTAAAGTTCAAATAAGTACATGGGAAATTAAACTTAAAAGAATTATTGGCATTTTACAATTTTGGATTGACTCCATGCTAAGTTAGTTGCCATGCTTTTAACTTTGATGCTAATTATGTAAGGTTTTTTTTTTTTTTTTCCAGAAGTTATGCGAGTTTATAAAAATATTAAGAATAGATTAATGACAAAAAGATTATTATAAAAAATATATATATTATAAATAAAAAAATAAAAAAAACATCTAGGTGCGGTTATTAATTCAAGAAAAAGGCGAAATCTTTCTGAAAGCAAAAAAAAAAATAGTGAATTCACACATCCACACTTAACTTTAAGTGAATGTTGTAAGATAATGTAAATTTTTTTAATAGATCGCAGGACGATTAAGTGATTTTTATTTGGAGGATATACAATTACTTTTAATTCAAACTTCTATATTATACCTAATAAGTTATTGATTTAAATAGTACTGGTACTGCACTCAATTTTTTAAATTAAAGTTTCATTATGTTCAAATCTTGTTTGGTGTATTAAAAAAATGGTTGGAAAGAAAGATCTCCAATAAGAGTGATTAGGCAATAAAGATTAATTATTGACAAGATTGATGAATATTTCTTATTAATAACATAATTACAAGAAAAAACTTTACTTGAATGTATTTTTAGTTCCTCAAATATTGTAATTGTACAATTTTAGTCATTGACTTTTAATTATGTCATTTAGTCTCTCAAATATCATAATTATGAGATTTTGGTCGCTCAATTTTAATTGAATAATTTTAGTCTTTTAGTAATTGTGCAATTTTACAGTCTCTCATAAAAAATCTAATAATTTTGTTGATGCAAGGTTAGCGAGTGATATAATATATTGATATTTTTTATTAATTTTCTTCCAATATATTTATTTTATCTAGTATATTTATATTTTTTTATAAAATTATTAATATATATTAATTTATATTTATGAACTATTAATTTATCTATTATAATAATAATAATAATAATATGATTGATATTAATTTATTAATAACATTATAATACTATATATATATATATATATATATATTATTTAGTGATAATAAATATATATCATTTGATATAAATAAAAATCGTAATATATGTAACTTAAATAGGTTAACAAATTATGTAAGTTTAGGTAGACTTATTTTACTTGATAACTTATGTTTAATATTAATTTCAACAATCCGATTATTGATTAAAAGTTATTAATGCATAGATTCAAATTAACATATAAAATCATCTTTCAATTTTTATACATTGATTTGAATCTATATGACAAAACATCATATGATTTTTAAATTTTTAAAAAAATTAAAAATTTAATCTATACATTAAGAACTTTTAATTCAATGATTGAATAGTTAAAATTTTATGTAGAACATGAGTTATTGAGTGGGATAAATCTACCTAAATTTACTCTAAGAATAAACGGATCTTTTCTCATATTATAATTTAAAAATTATTAATTTTTAATGAGAGAAACTAAAATCGTAAAATTATGATATTTGATGAACTAAAATTGTTCAATTAAAATTTAAAAAACTAAAATTACACAACTATGAGACTATTCATTAACAAATATTCAATGGCAAAAATGTGTATATCAGCAGTTTAAAAATTTTCTAAATCTCCAGTTTTGCTATGAAAAAAAAAAAGTGAACAATATCTACATATTATGAATTTAAAAATCAATATAAAATTATAAATAATATGAATTAATATTATTCAACTTCAAAATTAGATACGAGTTTTTATAAATAAATAAAAAAAAAAAAAAAAAAAGATAACAGTAATGTTATCAAATCGTACTTAGGTAAATCAACATGTTAATATGAGTGACAGAGTATAGTTTCCTTAAATACATATTAAACAAATAAATATCCACAAAAATTCACATGAGAATAAAAAGTGAGAAGTGTAAATTCATGTGACTTTTTTAATAAAAATATTTTCATTTTTAGTACATTGAAGTGTGAAGATTAAATGTTATATCCATGAGAGATAAAATAGTATAATTCTAATGAAATGAGACTTTGATTGTATTCCTATATAATCTAAATTTTAACAATATTTTTTGGATATTAAATTATATTTTTCAATAGAAACAACATATTTTTTAAATATCAAATTGTATTTTACTCTTTAATTATATGTTTTCATGATTTATAAGCAATGCTTTTTGGACATCGAACCAGCAAGATATTAGTTCAATAGTTCAACCATGATTAAATCATAATTGATCTAATATTAATAAAATAATGTGTTTAATTATAATTTTAATCTTCAAATATTATAATTATACGATTTTGACTTCCTTAAGGTTTTAAATGAATATTCTTAATCTTTCAAGTATTATAACTGTATAGATATTATATTAATATATATATATATATATATAATTTTAAATTATTAAATTTTTAATGTGAGAAACTAAAATCATACAATTATGATACTTTAAAGACTATAACTATTCATAAAATTTGAGGGATTAAAATGAAACAATTGTAGTTCTTGAGAAATCACAAATACATTTTAACCAAAATAAGAATGCTAATTAAATAATACACAAAATAATTACATAAAAAAATACACCAGTTTTTCCAAGTTGTATCTATCACCAGACCGATTTCCAATCAGATCGATTGAACCGACCAGTGACCAATCCAATTATGACAATATTTATAAGTGACTTCTCAAATAATTATTAATATAGTTGAATTATTTAAATAGCACATCAATCATTATTCGATAATATTGCAAAAACAAAATTGTAAAGAATGGGGATCAAGATTAAACCTCTTTTTTCTTATATACATATATCCGCAATAAACTGTTATATGAAAATTTAAACCATTAATTTTATCATCACATTTTCAATCCAATACTTGAGGATTCTTAAAAATACACCTGTCAAAATAATCCAAATAAAATATCTTGGGTGGGTTGGTTTACCAGTTAACAATGGAGTAGGTAGAGACAGAACCTTTAATCAAGTTAACTTGTTACGATGGAAACCCCCCCTCCTCTTTCCCAAAATGAAAGAAACGTAAAGAGTATCTACTTTTAGTTGATCCAATCACACCACAAAAATGCAACTTTTCATTTCTTTGATCTGTCAATGTTATGGGCCATCAATGCTTAGCATTGGAGAAATCAAAAGCTGGTTTACTACTTGGAAGCAAACGAAGCAAGCATGAAGGTCAAAATCTAAATATATTTGGAGTTTACAAGTATATATATATTTTAATGCTTGACAAACTGCCAAAAAAAAAATATAGCAATGCTATGATTGATGTGAGAATACAAAGAATGGCAACTGAAATTCCTAATGGCTAAGCAGATAACAAAAACCTGAAATTTCAAAAGAATTGTTTTTCTATACCTAACTGGTCATTATACTGCTCACCGAATGTCCCAATATGTTCAAGATTTACAAGAACTAACCCTCCGAAAGATGGCCTTCTCATCTGTCTATAACTCTTTCTAGCAGCTGCATCTTTACTTTTATTATACCTGTACTGCCTCACACCGCAACAAGAAGCAAGCAGAAGGAAGATAACTGTACAAATTAACTGAGTACTTTTTTCAAGCATAAGTGGATTCAATCATGGAACTCTGGTCTATAAGGTGGCACTTCCTGTAACCGGCTTAGCATTTTAAAGTAGGCCAATTAATCATATAAAGCCAAATCAGGGCCTCTCGCCTCAAACAACAAAAAAGGCAAGGAGTGCGTGCATTATGGCCCAATAAATTATAATTCCAAGCCGCAAGATGGGTTGTCTCATTAGAGCCCGATCACAAGAAACCCTGCAAGAATGCGACCGGAAACCGTTCATCAAATTGAAAGAAATTTCAAACCATGAAAACATAGGGAAAAATATGCTTACCACAAGCCATCAATCAAGTCAGTCAAAGGTCTAGTAAATCTTGGGACAATTTTGGATGTTGTGAGGGATTTGAAACCATGGACTGCAACAAAAAGTGGGAAACCAGAATTAGATAAAAGGATCCATAAAGCATTGCTGAAAGCACAGAAACTAGCACACAGGTTTAGTGCAGAATTACCTTTGTCATCCTCTTCATCTTCCATTCTACTAGTACTACCAGGGTCTTCATCTACTGCAATGGCTATATGATCATTATTATTGCCCTTGCGCAAACTGCGAACTTGAGGTGTTATAAAAGCACCTGACGACGACCACTCATTCATCTAGAAAACAAAAAAGCCAAATAAATTATATCCTTTCAAATTCAAATGAACCATAACTGTGTCAATAACATGTTTACCAAAGAGAAAATATCTTTAATTTCCTTTAACCACTACTCATAGTTTTATTTATTTATTATTTTTAAAAGCATGTATTAACTATCTCTTTTAATTAGAGTAAAAAGATCCTGTCCCAGAAGAGGAAAAGTACACATCTTAACCAAGATAACCCTGCCATAAAACTGAACTTTGAAACTGGTGAATATATATTTATCTGCTCTAAATTGACAAACTTAATGAGATTGTTGTTAATCATGACAAGAAAATGTACAAAAACATTATATTTTATGTTCTAATCCAATTGAAGTTCTAATTTGAATAAGAATTTAATTTAATCCAGATTTAATATAAGATTCTTGTACTGGTGTGAATCAACTATTAAATAAATAACTGATTTCCTCACCACTGGTTCAACCTCCACAATTTCTGAGCTTGTGCCAGCTCCCTTGGCAGTTTCTTCCACACCTTCAAGCAAATTCAATTGCGATTCTTTCTCGTGTAAGGATGTCTCAAGGGTTTCTGTTCTGCGGTTTAATTCTTCTACCTTACTCTTTTCTACTTGCAACATCACATCCTTGCTTTCTACAACTTCTCTTAGATTCTCCAATTCTGACAACAAAGACATCAACTTCTTATGAAGTATTTCTTTGCATTCATGAACTTGACTATTGCTCTTCATATCTGGATGTATATCATGCACCCCATCATGAGCCACAATCTTATCAACCCACATCAAGAACTCAAAGATCTCATCAGTACTTTTTTGGTTGTTCATTTGTGATGCAAGAAGAACATCATTAGTGCATCTAGTAACTTCTTGCCTCAAGAAAGAAATTTCAGTATCTCTTTCTTGTAACTGAGATTGCAGCTTTTCAACCTCGGAAAGAAGACTTGCAGAAAGTTGGTGAAGCTCATCAAACTTGCTAACAGTTATGGAAAGCTTTTTCATAACCTTACCACGGGAAGATTCAAGGTTTTCAATCTCTTGATTCTTTTGTTGAACAACATTTTCAAGAGTCACAATCTTATTTGTCAATTCTTCCATTTGCGCCTCTTCCTCATCAAGTGCATGCATTAGTGCTTCAATTTCTGCAATAAATCATTAAGTTCCAGAAATATTGTAAGCTTCTCATTTATAAAAGTAATATTACAAGTTCACTTTAAAAAAGACACAGGAATCAAAGAAAGCCCACCTTGGTCTTTGGAAGACAGTAAATTAGTCTGAGACCTCATTTTCTCCTCTAATTCATCTGCGGTTTTCTGCCTCTCCTGCAGCTCATCCACTCTCTGTTCCAGTATCTTCCTTTCTTCCTCAATTGCTTCCACCTGTTTCTTTAAATTGTGTTCTTGACTCCTAAAAGCTTGAAGATCCTGAGAGTAACTGCTTGCAGCAGCTTCAACATCTTTGATCTGTTTTACAAGTTCTGAGCAAATCTTATCTCTTTGAACATCCTTCTCCTGAAGCTCTCTCTGCAAATTTGTTATAGTAGCCTTCATTTCCTTTTGATTAGAATCTAAAAATTCAGTTTTTATACTAGCAAACCCTTTTGCAGCTAACAGCAATCTATCTGTCATGGTTTTAACACATTCCTCAAATATGCCATCATCAAATGAAGGTGTTTCCAAGTTAATTCCTACATCAGAAGATTCAACCTTCTTTCCGTCCAGTTCAGCTTTTCCATTTTCAAGTACAATGATAGAATTAATGCATGCTTCATAAAGGTAGGCAATGTTCCCACGTAATGCAGCAATTTTCTTATCTTGCTCACTTACTTCTTTCTTCATGGTTTCACAAGACTCTTTTTGGGAAGTCATTTCCCTTTGAATACTTGCCATGAGTTTAGATAGAGTTTTATCTTGCTCCTGTGCCAAACTTGAGTGCATATTTATTCTTTCCTTAAGAGAATTGACCTCCACCATGAGCTCTTTCAGTTGATGCCCAAATAGATGAATAACTTCAACTATAGTATTATCATCATAGTGGTCAATTGTGTCAAAATCTGACCAAGGATCTGCAGACACAGAGCTCCTCTGGAGAACAAATATCACAAGTATTTAGGAAGGGAACTTGATCATATTACAAAAAAATAGTAATAACAAGGAGTGTAATTAAGCCTTACATAGAAATGACACAAACCGGAAGGCACATTATGCAAGGAATAAAATTTGAGTCATAAACTTAAAACAGCGGGAGGGATTCAGTGTTGGCATTGCAGTTGCAATAATCCGCTATATAATATAAATACGTTACACTTCTAATTACAGACTTAAATGCTAAGACAACAATGTACCCAAATTTACAACTAATGCTTTAAAAGACAACATATTTCACACTACTAAAAATTAAAGTGAAGAAAATTACATTTAACAAATGAGTGATTGAAAGTAATGCCACCAAGATAATGAAACATACACAAAAACTAAGAAACCAAAGACAACAAATATCTTAATTTAAAAAAACACATTATAACATATTCCACTGCTCAATCTGTTCTAGTTTGAAAATTCAGTGTTCATTTACAAATATCCAGGACAACATTATAATGAAGGTTGTGGAAAGACAACAAAAATAACATCAAATAACGAGCCTAAAGATCCCCAAAGATGCAATAAGCTGTTCAATCAATCAGCACATCAGAAAAGGAAAATCCCTAGAAATACCATTCACGGATCATCAAACAGACCACAAACACAACCTTATCCCATCAATACGTGTAAGCACAAAAGAACATCCTTGAAAATGTTGCATTCAAATCAGGGAAGGTTCCAGAACCCTATCAAAGGGGGGCTTGGTTTTTTTTTAATAATAGGTTTAAATAAATATTACATCATAATTGTTAAATAGATCATGTTATTTATCTAACTTGTAAATATCATTCTATTAAATCATAAAATCATCAACAATATAAATATATATATATATATATATCATTATTTTAATAAATCTTTCAATATAATCATATATTTAGTATAATAAATAGATTTTATTATATTTTTTTTTAGTTAAAGCCCCTGCTTGCCCCACTTGGATCCATCTGATTCAGATGGAACCAGATATATAAGAGACCAATAGCTGAATAGCATATTCAAATAGCACATAAAGCAATAATAAAGACCACCCACCCCCAAAATTTAAAATAGTACATGAATTCAAACTAACACAACATTGTCACACAACAGCCGACTGCATTGTATGTTATATTTGTTATTCTCACTATACCACATGAAAGACAGTAGAAACAGATACAGAAAATGTCAAAAATTGATGCAAATTATAATTTAAAAGTAGTTGAATATCCATGTGATGTTAATACCTTATTAGCAGATGACCAGTGTAAAATGCCATCATGTTCTTTGGTGACCGATGAAACCACCATATATGTAGCATTGTTTCCTTCCATACATGACTCAAGACCAGCCCCCAGTTTCCGATAAGATTCCAAATCCACGAACAAAGCATTAGACAGCAAATTCTGAACCTCACCAAAGCTTTTGCAGACTTGGTTCATACCAGATTTTAATTCCATGATGTCAGAAAAATGGCTCTTTTTTCCCTCCTCATGCAAGGCTGATAACTTTTCAACATGTGCAAGCGCTTCCAGTTTGGCAGCCTCAGCTGAATCCCTTTCTCTTCTGAGATCCCACAGTTCAGCAGTCACCTTTGCGAGCTCCTCCTGAAAACTATCATTCCTTTCTTGAACCTCATTTAACTCTGCCAAGAGGAGTTCTGATGCCCTTTTAGACTTCCTGGAATCTTGTTCTAAAGATGCCACAGCACTTTGTAGATCAGAGCATAATTTCCCAACCTGTTCTAACTTCTTCACTGGATCACTTATATGATCTTCACCACCAACCTCAATCTCACCTAACTTGTTCAAAATCAATTTCAAAGAATATTCTTGCTCCTGCAAATGGCTCTCAGTTTCTTCCAAATGTTTCTGCAGAATCAAACTCTCAGATTCAAGAGCTTCTAACCTATCTGGGTAGGTTGACAACTGTCTCAACTTCTGTTCATGCTCTGCAAGAGTTTTGTCCCGGTTGTTGATCTCAGATTTCAAGTGCTCCATCTCAACAGTCATCTCTTCAATGGTTTGTTTTAGACTGTCTCGTTGTTGAACCAATGACTTACCTTTCCTGACCGCAACATTTAACTTCTCTCTAACAGAAGCTGATTTCTGCTCCTCCTGATTAAGAAGCCCTTGCAATTCCTCAATTCTTTTATTCAGAGCTTCAACTTCACCAGATAAAGATATATGTTTTTCCAAAGATCTATCTCTCTCCTCCTTCACATGCATCAATTCATTCAAGGACTCTTCAAGATCTATTTTATATCTATCAACATCTGCCTCCTCTTTATAATGCACATCTGTACTTCTTTCCAAATGAAGTGTAGCATCATCCTTCTGTGAATGGAGTCCATCACCTAAATCCGCATGTGCAGGTTGCATTGATGAAAGATTTGCATGATTTTCTATAAGCTTTCTCAGCATTTCTTCCAAGGAATCAATGCTCACACTTCCAGAAACCAGGTTTTCTGTTTCAGATTCTGACAAGGCATCACCAACTAAGTCTTGCAATTTTTTTATCTTACCATTAATGGTGAAAAATTGTTCTTCAATTGCAGCTTTCTGTTCCAATTTATCCTTCAAACTAGTTATTTCATTATGCATCTTTTCATTCTCATGTTCAGCTTCCCTTCTCTGTGCTGATAGTTTCTGTTCCAAGCCCAGCTTTTCTACAAGCTTTCCCAGCAGTTCTTCCAAGGAATCAATATTTGCACTGCCAGAAACCATATTTTCTATTTCAGATTCTGACAAGGCATCACAAACCAAGTCCCACAACTTTCTGATTTTACCATCAATAGTGGAAATTTGTTCTTCAATTGCAGCTTTTTGTTCCAATTTATCCTTCAAACTAGATATTTCATTATGCAGCTTTCCATTCTCAAGCTCAGCCTCCCTTGTTTGCGATGATAGTTTCTCATGCTCATACACCAAAGCCTCCATCTTTTCAGAAAGGTGCTCTCTCTCAGATGTAAGAGCGCTAAGGTCTGCTTGAAGAGCAGATACTGCCCTCTGGGACTCTTCAAGATCAGCATTTAGCAATCCACAATAGGTATCATATTTTTCAATCTTCAGCTGCATAGAGTCTATATGATGATTAGCCTCGGTGAGCGCTGTACCTATACATTCAATCTTATCCTCTGTCTCCAAAGACTGCAAATGTGAAGGCATTTCAACCCTATTCACAAGCTCTTCCCATCTTTGAACTAAGCTGTTTCTTTCCATCAATGATTGCTCCAGCATTTCATTTTGCTCAGCCAACCCATAATACTTACTCTGCAACTCCTCAAACTTTTTTCTAAAGTCATCTGAATCTGGTTGTAGTTGACTATCATCTTTCCATGAATCTGTGACAACATAGCCAGCGTCAGAGTATGAACCTCCTCCCACAGCATCCTTTTGTTCCCAATCATTCATTGGCAATGAGTTTCCAGAAACTGAACTAGCCAACCAATCAATCTTTTCAATTATATCTCTTGAATGAAACTGCTCTGGAAGATCTACATCTTCCAATATCTCTTCTATTCTCTGAAGCATTGAATCTTTAAGAAGAAATGACTCTCTCAAAGCATTAGATGAATTACGAATGTAAAAAAGCTCAGATTCCAGGGCTTCCACACGTTCACCAGCCTCTGCATATGTCTTGAGTTTTGTTTCAACCTCATGAAGTCTTGCATCTTTCAACTGTAACTCTTGTAAGCATCTCTCCAATTCACTAGAGTTCTCTGCCAAGGACTGCTTGAGGCCATCTCGCTGTACAACCAACCCTTTCCCCTTGGCAACAGCTATGCTAAGTTTCTCCCGAATGGATGACACCCGCTGTTCTGAATGCTCAAGTTCATTTGCTTTCTTGTGTAATTCAGAACGAGCAACAGTAAGAGCTTCCTCTGCCTGATGTAAGCTTTCCTTCAGAACAAGAATTTCATTTTCATTCTCAAGACGCAGTGTGTCTAGATAATGCATTTTTTCCTTTAGTTCAGCCAATTCCATCTCCTTAGATCCATATCCTTCTTTAGTCATGTGATACTGGATTTCAGCCTCTCTGGTTTTCTGTACAAGACTAGACACTAATGAATCTAAGCAAGAAAGGGGCGATTCATTTATGTCAGTCTTTGAAATGTCCATATTCAACACACCTGCCACATCTTCTATTAGCTTATTAACAGAATCTAAACCAATGCACTTCATCTTCAATTCTTCCAATTCTGTTTCCCTCTGCATCAATTCTAACTTCATCTCCTTGGTAACAGACTCAAGTTCCTGCTTCTTGGTCAATATATTCCCAAGACTTTCCAAGATGGGTTGATAGCTATTATAGTTCAGAAGATCAGGCAGTGCTTCACTTAGTACATCTATCTTATCTTCATCAATAGTCCCACCATTACTGAGCACGAGGTTCCTCAGGTCACTGTACATTTTATGCAATTGACTGTCAGCCAATTCATTCCTCCCAAGCAGATCATTACATTTTGAATTCATTTCTTTATACGATGTGCACATTATTTCATGATCTGAACAAGTAGCTTCAAGTTTCTTCCGCAGATCAAAAATCATTTCAGCAGCTGCATTAACCGAAACTTCTAACTGATGACTGATATCCAAGTTATCACAAGGATCAGAAGAGACCGTTGTGCACAAAGCTCCACCAACTGATTCGTTCAGCTTCCCAACTAACTCAACAATCTGGGCAATAGTCATATTCCAGTCTTGTTCAAGTAGGATTGCCCTCTCTGTCACCTCCTTCTGCAAATTTTCCAGTTGAATGCCAACCATAGAAGCCATATCATTTGAAATTTGTTTCACATCATTCATTTCAGTATGCAATTCACTAATTTTTGACTGACAATACCCAAGCTTTTCATAAAGTTCATTATTCTTGGCCTTGAGACGGATGTCTTCTTGCTTTAAAGCATCACAGATTTCCTCAACAAGACATTTCTTTTCTTGAATATGACCCAGATGTTGCTTTGCAGTTTCATATTGAACTGAAAGTTCAATGTTGGATGCTTCCAAATCTGAACAATGTTGCTTCAATTGTTCAAACTGGTCCCTGAGATCACTGTACTTTGCATCACCAGTTTTCCGATTGTCTCTCTCTCCCTTGAATAATGCACCTGCAATCTGCACATCCAGCTTCCACTTTGAAAGCAATTTTTTCAAATTTTCAATTTGCTCTTTGGTTAACATAATAAATGAGTTTGATGATGACTGAACATCACTGGAATCCCTTCTTTCTGCCTCATGCACATCTTCATGTCCTTTTGATTCAAAAGCCTGTATCAATTTCAATACAACGGGCGAAGAAACTTTATCCCCAGACCTGCTGGAGGATAATGATTGAGAATGCAACTCATTAATTGCCTTTTCAAGGTTTATTAAACCCTTCTCTGCCTCATCCAAGCAAGCCTTCAACGAAACAAACCCAAGAGAATCATCAAAGACTTCATGTTCAAGTATGTTCAGATGTGGTCCCCCTGGTGCACCTTCATCTGGCCCCTTTTCCATATGCAGAGAATCTTCAGTAATAGTGATTTCAAGCCCCTTACTTTGTTCACATGCAACATTGGCTTGATTTCCAAGGTCCCTTGGTTGAGGTAGTGGTTGGCTTTGTTCCTTGGAAATTTGTCCCAAGTGTATTGTGGCTTCCTTAAGGTCAGCTTCAAACCTCATTCGTTCCCCTTTTTCTGTAGACAATTGCTCATTTAAGGCAACAATTTGAGAAGACAGTTGTTGATTCTCAATAACAACAAGTTGATTCTCATCTTCAAGATTTTTAATTTTATCAGCTGACAATGTGAGGTTCCCACTTAAGTTGGAATTTTCTGCCTGTAGACTTGCAACCAAATCTTTATTAGAAACCAAATCTAATGACAGCCTGTCAATCTCATGTTTGAGATGCTCAATCTCCGCTTCAATCTTATTCCGCTCTTCAGTCACCAAAGAGATCCTGTCAATTAAGTTGGTATTTTCAACTTTTACTCCTTCCATTGAACTCTTGAAGTCAGCTAATTCAGTTGCCAGATTCCTACTTTCACATAGATGAAATTCCTTCTCATCCACAAGTTTATTTTTCTCAGCAATCATCAAATCAAGTGTTTCATTAATGCCCTTCTTTTCCACCTGTAAACTTGAGATCAAGCCTCTGCAGTCAGCCAACTCTCTGGACAAGTCTGAAGAATCTTTTTGAGACATATCAAAACTATTCTGCAGCTCAACCACTCTAACAGAAAGAGCTTCTACCTCACCCATGGCAGCATTAAACTGATTTTGTAGTTCAAGATTCTTGTTAGAAATATCATGTAGTTCAGCACGACAATTAGCAAGTTCTTCAATAAGGTTTTGATTCTTCTCATTAACATTATCATGAGACGCATGGAGCTGAGATATTTCATCAATCAACTGGTGATGTTGATTATCAGATTCTAGTTGCTCAGCTAGTTGAGTGTTAAATATATTTTTCATTAAATTTGCAAGAAACAATTCTTCCTTGAGACTCTGAAATGCTTCTGAAATGTCATGGTCTGATAGAGCTGTACTACTGGCTAAAGGATCCAAATTAGACTCAGCTCCTCTTGCCTTGAGCAGAAACTCATACTCTTCTGCTTTAAGCCCCCTTATAATTTCAGCCAGCTGCAAGATATTAACTGAGTTTGCATCAAAAACAGACGAGACTTCTAATGGTCCGACCGAACCAACCTCACGTGCTCCCATTGACAACTTGTGGGTTGGATCCTCAACTGCAAATATGACACGATTGCATTGCTGATTAAGCCCCTCCTGAAGCCTCCCATCCTGTTCACCAAGAGCTACTTTGCTATTCTGTTCTTGATTAGACAGAAGGAGCATTTCTTCATGAGATGAACCTGGTAATGTTTCTCTCACCAGATTCCTCGTAATAGGCCCCACAGTTGCAATATCATCTCCCAGGCCTTTATCAAAACCTGAAAGCTTATCTGACACAATGTCCTGATGAGAGGAGAGTAATTCAATTGACTTGACCAGTTGCTCAGCTTCATGAGATTCCTCCTCAATTCTAGTCATCTCTGAAGTAATTCCAGAAAGAGCCTGATAACTCTCACCAACCTCGGACAAAGGAAGCTCCTTCTGATCATCTATGAAAGCTTCAGTGCCTTGACAAGATTTCTTCATGTCCAAACCATCAGCTTCCTGCATTGCCCCTACCCAGCAACAAATGAGAATATAAATTATAAATCAAATCCATGTATTACTTTTCCCAGCCTGCCCAACTAATATCCTAATACCTAAAGATTTAATGTAATATTAAATTAGGGGAGGGGGGGAGGGGGAGAGAGAGAGAGAGAGAGAGAGAGAGAACAACCTAAATCTGTTACCTGATCTTCCCTTGTTTGCATCACAGATGTATTGGGTATATCCTCAGATAAAAGCAACAATTCTTCCCTCTTTTCACCCTCTCTTTCATCCGTAACAGACTCACCAATTGCAGTTGTAACAGCAGTGGCAACAGGTGCCGATGCATGATCAACCATTGTTCCACCTTCAGGAACCAGATTATCTGAACTTCTCAAAGACACATCCTCTGGTACATCAGCACCAATGTCTTGAGCAATTTCCCCTTCATCTTGGGCAGATAACTCAGAAGAATCATTCTCACGGACCTCATGAACCTGATGTGCTAGCTTCGCATTAGAATCCAACATATTTTCATCGCCAGTATCATATGTAGTGACCAGTGATGATGAATCACCAGATGCATCAGTATTGTCAGGAGCTAATGAGTTTGCCAAAGACTGTGACTCTGATGACGATTCTGTATTACCCACATTGGAGTGACTGTCAGCTTCAACATTTCCATCAGTAATCTGAGATGATACCGTTGAAATTGAGGCACTACTTGCGGCATCAGAATCAGACTCGGGTAACTGAGGTTTACCAGCTTGTTTTGATGATTTTCCACGGCTACTACCACCTTTATTGTCCTTCTTCTGACGGTATTGCTGGAGCTGAAAATGAAAACATGAAGGAAAATTATGAACTTCAACCAGTCAATTGTATATACCCTATATATGTTGAAATCATACAGTAGGAGGAATCAAATAAAAAGAGACAGATAAAATCATATGCTTTCTGATCATATATTAAAAATAATATAATGCAATCCAGTTTACACATCAGCCTTCCAAAATGAAATTAACCCGTGAATGCCACAGGGTACAATCCCTTCCACTGCTTTCTTATGTGGATTTGGACCCTCTAAACAAGTCGGTGCATATAGTAACCACTCACAAGTAAAACAAGGAATTAGATTCACATACGTGATTCATTATATAGCTCTTGGTATATAAGACCTATTTGGATAAATTTCTTCAGAAATTTTTAGGAGATAAAAATAAGAAGAAAAAAATGAGATAAGGTTCTCCATAAGTTAAAATTAGCTTATGTGTAAACTCTAATTTGTAGAAGTTCTCTCATATTAGGTTCTCCAAAATCTTATTTTTAATTTATGAATAGGCTAGTTTTAGCTTATGAAAAAAATTATTTCATTTTTCCTTGCTATATTTTTCTCCCAAAAGTGTTTCTGGAAAACCCTTAATTAAATTCTAAGCCATTGATACTTGACAGTCTCATCACTGGTTATCAAATCTACATTTTCCCTCTAAAGTACAGTGTACAGCCCACACTCCTCAGATCCAAAAACCCATTTAACATATGATGATTTTCTAATTCCTATATAGCAACTCCCTCTAACTCTATTTGGAACCAAATCCAATTATCAAAAACTTGCTCCAGAAACACGAGCTACACTTCATTCTCCCCTACACACACTTAAAAAGCAAGAATTGAAATTCACATTGTAAAGATGAAATACCTTCTTTCTGCCAGCTGCGAGTAGATCGGTACGACTCTTGCTTCGGTCCATTTTCCGATCCACTCTCCGGTCCACCCCGTTATTGCTCCCCACGGTAACTGCGGCAATCACCAGAATCGCGTCCTGGCCATCGTTCAGATCCTCCTCTTACACTGCAACCCAAAAAACAGGACCAAAAACCACCCAATCGAATCAAATTCTACGCAGCCACAATCGTTAATGCACTTCACAATCCAAAACAAATAAACAAAAATAAAATATGCATAGCTCATATCCTCCCAAAATTAAATTTATAATCAACAACATGTTCGTGCGGTGCGTGAAGGTGTTAAATATTCATTTCTATTTCAGCAGCAACCAAACAGAGGAAAACCTAATCATCAGATTGGAAACGCGCGGAGAACAACGAATTGAAAATTGGATAGATGAAAAATATATAGCGAAAGCGAAAGGGTTTGGAGGGAAGAGAGAAGAACCTTGATTGAGGGTTGTGGAAAGGTATGAGACGACGTCGCAGCGTGTGTCATTCGAGGTGAGGGTTGCGGTGGCTATGAATCGTGAATTGTGTTTTCTCTCTTCGTTGTGTTTTCTGTGTGAAGAAGGATAGCAGCGTTTTTCAGATCTAAACGCAACGCGAGCGTTATTTTCTCGCTGGTTTAAGCGTCGAATCAAGCAACGTCGATTTTTTTTTTTTTAAAATAAAAATAAATAAATAAAAGGATTCTATGACCGGAAAAAAAACACACAATAAAAATAAAAATATATTTGTTTTTATTATTTTTTATTGTTTTTTGGGTTTGGAGGAGTAATGGTTGTGGTTTGGTGTCGGTTTCTTAGGGAAGCAGCATCAGACAATTTTATTTTATTTTATTTTATTTTATTTTATTTTATTTTATTTTATTTTATTGGGTAAAGATTTTAATTTAATAATAATTAAAAATAAAATAAATAAAAAAATAGTATCTGCACATTGTGGTATCTTGTGAAAAAATTAAAACGGATTAGGGTTCGAAACTAATGATGTCTATATATCCTGCATATTGGATTTTTCTTTCTCTTTCTATTTTTTACTCCCTCTGCTTTGAAATTAAAAATGATTTTAAAAAATTAAGCAGCGGATAAAAGTTATTTTTTTTAAGAAAATAGAAGTTTATTTTTCTTTAAAAATACACATCAAAAAGTAGGTTTTTTTATTTTATTTAAAAATGAAAAAGAAATGAGATAAATTTTTCCATAAATTAACTTATGCGCGTATTAAATATAATCCTTGAAATGTAAATTAACTTTAATATATAAAAAAGATTATTTCTTTTTTTATATTATTTTCTCTTATTAAGTATTTCTTGAAAAATTTATTCAAATAAATACTTAATTATAGAAATGTTAACACGCTTTCTTTTAAGACTCTATTTCTTACATTGTCCTTATCATTAACTAATTTTTTTTTATAAGTCTCACTATTAAACAAGAGTTTGTATGTTTAGGGTTTAGGGTAGTCCTAAGTCAATTGAATGAATAAATATGTGAAAGGGTGGATTGAATAATATACGGCTGAATGATATGTACAAAATATCATGTTATTTTTATTATAATTTTTATAATAAAAAAATTCAAACACAACATCACTAAATAAGATGTATATCTATAAAAATAAAAAATAAAAAATAAAAATAAAAAGTCTTACTTTCAATAAATTTTATCAAACAATAAAATTATTAAAAATAATATGTTAAAAATAGTGTCGTTAACATCTTTCTTATTACATATCATTCTTTTTTTTACTGATGTATTTTCATTTTTTTAAAATTTTTCTAACAATAAATTACAAACAAAAACAAAATAATTACATTCAATTATCGAATATTTTATTGCAACCAATTGTGTTGATTTTTAAGTTAATTCAATCAAGTAAGTGATTAATTAATTATTACAATTTTGGTATCATTTTTTCCAAAATATTTAACACATTATTTGCTGTTTTTACAAACCTTTTAAGCAATAAACATTATTAATTGACTTAAAAAAGAATATCGATATGTTATGTATATAATAACATTATTTTTAGAATATTTTATGACAAACAATCAGTTAATTAACTTGAAATAAACAGTTAAAATATTTAGTTAATTAATTGTTGATTAAAATTTATTAAATTAATTATTTGTGAGAATTGCTACCAGTTTAATAGTTAGAAATATAGGAAAGTTGAACAAAATTTTGTAGTAACATTTGAATTTAATAAGTTCAAAAACCATTTGAATTTAATTTTATGAATATCAATGTTTTTTAATGAGATAGGATAAGATATTGGTTTAAGATTCATTAAACTCTAATCAAAATAAATACTTATTATTCTTTAAACTCGGTTCATTTTAAGAGCGATGCAGCGTCTGGTAATGATATACTCACATCTAGCATAAAGAGATTAGGGGTATTTATGTCGCATTCATGTCCAACGTGATTATTCCCATGTCCAGCATGGAGAAGTTATGGACCTCTTTATCCTAGTCACACATAGCGTGATTACTTCTATGTCTAGAGCTAAGAAGTCAAAGGCTCCTCTCCCATAAATACACTTTATGTGATCTTAGTCACACTTGACATAGTCTCTCTTAAAAAACAACATCAATTAGTGTCAACCAAAACACTCATCACCCAATGCAAAAGAGTCAAAAACCTCTTTGTCATTCTTATGTCTGGCATGGTTTTATCCATGCTACACGTGAAGAACTCCACTCATCACGCCCAACGCCTTAAATGTGTTTTTGGCATTGTTGTAGATTCTACACTTCACATAATCGTTGTAACACCCCGAGTTTTTCTAAATAAATTAATAATAGAGTTTAATTAATTAATTGGGATGTTTTATGCATATGAGTGATTTTAATTGAATAAAAAAAGTTTAGGACAAATATTTTATTTATGTGTTGGAAAAAGCATGGTTTTAAATTATGTTGCTTTAATGTGAGGGAAGAGATATGTAGTTGTTTATTTTAACTAATGAGTTAATTGTGGGTTAGGGAGTTTTATGAGGGGTTACATCAGTTTTGTTTTTACACTTCAAACATTTCTTTTTGTACATATGTAGATCTTGGAGAATTAGAGGCTATTGAAGATCATCCTGGAATTTCGCACCCAACGTCTAGCATTCATTGAGGTAAGGAATGAGTGAGTAGTCTTACTCTAGGGTGTGGAATATTTACAAGATAGGGAGATTGACCCTCAAGTTTCTTATTTATTCTTATATGTTGTGAGGGAGGAACCCCAATTAAGATTGTAAAGTATAAATTTGTGTTATATACTCTTTTTATGTGTCTTATTTGTGATGATTATTGAGATATATGTATGTTTGATTTCATGTTAAAGGCCTAAATCATGAATCTATAAGTGTTTGTAGTTCTTGTAGGAACCCTAAGTACATAGTAAAGTGAATTAGTAAATTATAATGATGTTTTTTATGTAAGGATGTTTAATTGATGGCTTATTTATGTAGAATTAAGCATTATGTGCATTTTTACCAATTAAGTTGCATGAATAATGTTTTGGATTTTATATATGTATTGTGTAATTTTTTGCACTTTTCATAGAGGAGACGTTTCTGGTATGGCACCAAGTGCCTTAAAGTGCTTCAGAAGTGGGGGCGACAAGGAACATAAGATATTTTTTGTGGCTCACAACCATGTGTGGGATGGTCCTTGTTGGGAGTAGGACCTCTAGGGGCTCCTTGGTGCAATCTCATCAAGTGTGGGTTTCCTCACGCCATGTGTGGTCCTTTTAGAGAGCAACATATACTCTCTATGTGAATTGTGCCAAGCGTAGGGTAATCGATACTAGATGCCACCCAACATGCATTTACCTACTTATTTTATGTACATACCATGTATTTTGTGATACTTAATTAATGTAAAACATACAAGGAGAAATAGAGAAAATAAAGACACATTTGGGGAAAATCACTCATTCATAGACATACAACAGAGATAAGATTGAGGTCAATCCCACTATCAACATACAATCCCGCACCCAAAGCGAAGTTTCTCACTCCCCCTTACCTTGGTAAGTAGAAGAAGATGGATGCATGATCTCGGGGTGGTTTCCTTCTTGCTTTTGTTCTCTGAGCTCTAAAGCATGAAAGAACGCATACGTAAAATGAAAGAAGCATGAAAATTGATCAGGGAAAAAACACTTTTTTTAAAACTTAACCTCCCTTTAACCCCATAATTAAAATATTTAATCATAGTTACTAATTTCTTTCCCCTCAATTAATTAAATAAAGCATTTAAATAAAACTTTCAATTAAAACAACTTATATTATATTTCAAAACATATCAAATGATTAAAATAAATATCAATCATCTCCTAATAATTAAATAAAAATATCAAAATTATTAGTTAACTACTTATATAATATTTTATGAAAAATGGGGTGTTACAAAAACTTAATACTTCAATTTTTCTAACTAAATCTCTTTTCAAATCAATTTTAAAACTTTTTTTATCATCAAACATATATGAAGATTTAATGTTAAGTCAACTAAAAATCACAAAGCAAACATGAAACAAAGCATAAACACATAACAAGATACAATTTGCACTTTTATCATTCAATAGGCTTATATTTGTAATTAACAAAACTCAATGCAACATGTCTTCATCTTAAGCTTGGTCAACATTAAGTTATAAGGGAACCCCTAATAATCTTCCCTTCATGATTGGTGGACTCAGACGACAATGTCTAATCCAGCCTTGAACCAAATTCTTCCAAGTTGAGGCTAAACTCAAGGTTGTGCAACATTCTCTACAAAGGGAAGGAGAAGAAGCCCAATTACCTTAAGGATGTCAGGTATTTGAGGTATGCCAAATGTCATTAGTCTAGTGCCTCAACACAAATAAGAACTACCTTTTCTACGCCATGGGCCGCTATTGCCAATAAATTCCAACTCCTCCAAATACTATTCCCTCTACTTGCAACATTCTCTACCAACCATGCCACATATTCTTCTATCACACTACTTTTACCTTTCAATTTTATGTATGTCTACCTATAGATATTATTTTTGTGTATTCATATCTTGCTTTTACCCTCTACTCTTGTTGTGTCCTTTGAACCTGCTCAAGAAGCAACTACAAATGCACTTGATCATGTTACTTTACTGTAGACATTGGTCAAACGTCTCTCTACAACACTCCTTGCAACCATTCATAGACAGCGTTACTATGAATAGAAGTTTCAAAAGCTTCTTGTCTGACTCAATGTGGAGATCAACTCGGATGAGGATTCAAGCTGAATGGGACCAACTTTTGCTAGTGCCAAAAATGGAGTATTTTTATTATTTGAATTTTTTTAGGTCTTTGTTCTAAGCACTTTGCAATTTTTAAACTACTTGTTCCATCTCATGGGGAACGTACTTATGCTTTGATAATTATATTGAGGTTTACAATGTTTCCGCATGACATCTGCCTAGTATAGATAATTATATGTTGATAATGATGCATTATTTATTTATATGCTTCCATACTCAGATACCCTTGAGTAATTCATTTAAATATCATCTGATTCATAATATATACATATTGCTCTGATATCTATATGCTATAATATATAGGATTTGTTTTGTTTCATGACTTTTTTAGGAATCTTTGCTTT